CAAGCCTTTATCAAACAATAAAGTTCATCATCCCATTCCACAGCACACTACTGCCTCAGAGTCAAGAAATCAAATGCTGCACAGTTCGACAGACTTATTAACTGTTCAAGTAGAAACTTGATACAAAAAGCAAGCCTCATGACAAAAGTTTACATTGTAATGCCAACCATTAAGCAATATGAACTCACAGAAGCAAAATTCAGTCTCTAGTTTTGAAGACCATCTTGGGAATCTAAGATACAAACACCAGGATTGGTGATGCCAAAAGGATCATTATGTTAGGGAAAAGAAAGCAAATGGACCAATAAAGACAAAAGGAAACTACATCCTGTCTCTAAGAATATCTCTGGTCTCAGAATTGTTCCAAGTCCATTAAACCAACAGAGCAATGAAAACATGCATTATTGATCCCTAGATCGATTGTAGCAACAATTAATAATTAAAATCAGTGATAAAAGAACAAATGACAAACGTCAGTGTGATGTTTGTGCTTGTCATGGCAAGCCTTTATAGTCTTTCTGAAATGACAGCCATTTTTCTGCTCTGTGATATAAACAGGTTAAGTCAAAGGCAAATGTGTATTTAATATAGAGGAAAATGGGTCATCTTAATGAACAACTCTGTGTTCTAGCTTCAAAGATCTTTTTAAAGTATCGAAAATTAGAACATGAAAATATAATGAAGTATATCCGAATTTACTATTCTGGCAGGAAGATTTTTTCGATGCACTATTCTGATTGATGGGCTCTGAACTAATGGGTTTCAACTCAAATATTGGTTTTAATAATATTGACAGCAGTTTCCTTTTAAAGTAGTTTTACATAGAGTTGATTCTCATTATTTGTCTTAGCAATTATATTTTATAAAGCGACTGCAACATTGAAATAACAGATATGAACTACTAGGGAATATTTTCCCTTGAAGAATTACAGTCCTTTAACACCTGGTCACAATATTTTTCACAGTCAATCAATGCAAAAACCTTGTCATAAGGGGTATGCTTCTGTTTGAAGTCTTTTTCTGGAAAAAAAATACATATTTGATTCATGAACATTGAACTCAGTGCCAAAAACACTGTATCTCATGTCTGTAAAAAGCGTATCATCTATATATTTTCTCCATAAGACACATCACGGCTTTGTAGATCTTAGGACCCACACATTAGCTCTAAACAGAAGGCCATGTGATCACTAACAAGAAGCACAAAAATGGAGGAAACCTGGAATCATGCTGGTAAGATGAAAGAGGGTGCATGTTTACAAAATGAGAGCTGAAAAGAAGGCAGAGCATCACCTGGAATGTCACCAGGGGCGTCACCTGGGGCATCGCCTGAAACGCCACTGCTGGGAACATAGACATTGGGCAACTCAAAATTTTCACGTCTTTATGCAGGCCCACAAATGGCCATGAAAACACCATGAGTTGACTCTGAGGTCACAAACTTTAGTGAGTGGGTGAATTAGCAAATTGGGAAGATGTGAATGGAGGATCAACTGTGTAAAATGTCAAGTACATTCTTGTACTGCTTTTTAATTGTATGAAAATTTCATTAAATACTGTGTTGCATTTAACAACCTCTTCAGATTGTACCAACAGCTGCGTGGGGCTAGGGAGATGGCTTGGTGGGTAATATTCCTGCCATACAAACATGAAGACCTGAGTTCAGATCTACGGTAAAAGGGCACAGTGGCGCTTCTTCTGAACAGTGCTGGAGGAGAGGAAGCAGGTAGTGGGAATAGGCAGATTCCTGCAGCTTGCTGGCCAGCCAGCCTAGCCAAGCAATGGGCTCCAGTTTCAGTGACAGACCCATTTCAAAAATAAGGTGAAGAGCAACTGAGGAAAACACCAAATACTGGCTTCTGTCATCCTCACATCCTCACATATATACAACACACACACACATACACACACACACAGAATGCCTGACCCCTGAAGGTGTGGCTTCAATAATGCAGAGGCATTATCTCTAATATCTGTCATCTGAAAAAGGTCATTATTGATCTGGGTATTTCTTTCATCTTTAAGGTTAAAATTAATTTCAGTGGTTTGTGTAGTACAGCATTTCTAGGGAACACAATCACACTGTTTGTTGAAAGGAATCTTTCAATACAAAAAGCACATTTTACCAAATGAACTTTTATTAATATACTGTCAATACATTATCATTTACTAAGTATTCTTTACATAAATAGGTCTTATAAACACTATCAATAGCTAAAGTTTCCTATTATCAACCTTTTATTAAGAATTAACATTCAATTGTTTATGGTATGTATGCTGGATAGCTTTGGTGTCAACTTGACACACCTGGGTTGAGGGAGCCTCAATTGGGGGATTGCCTCTATTGGACTGGTCTGTGGCCATGTCTGAGGGGCATCTTCTTGATGAGTGATGTGGGAAGGCCACCCCTGGGCAGGTGGGCCTGTGTTGCATAAGAAAGCAGGCTGGGCAGGGGCCAGGGGAGCAAGCCAGTAAGCAGCATTCCTCCATGGCCTGTGCTCCAGCTCCTGCCTCCAGGTTCCTGCCCTGAGTTCCTACCTTGGGCTCCCAGATGAACTGTGACCCAGGAGATGTAAGATAAATAAACCCTTTCCTCCCCAAGTTGGTAGTGGTCAGAGTATTTTGTCACAGCAGTGAAGAACAAACTAGGACAGTATGAGTGTTTGCCTATATGTATGCTTATATGTGCGCTGCACGCATGATGCCTGGTACCTGCAAAGGCCAGAAGAGGGCGTCAGATCCCCTGAAACTGGAGTTACAGACGGTTGCAAGCCTTCATGTGGGTGATGGGAACCTAGCCTGGGTTCTCTTCAAGAGCAGCAAGTGCTCTTAACCCCTAAGCCATCTCTCCCAACCCAATATTCAATTTATTAAAGACATAAATTTAAAACATAGGTCAACCTTCAGCTAAGTTCAATTTACAAGTCAGCTTATTCTATCTACAAATACCTGGTATTTTAACCTCTTTTAGAAGCTCTTGATTCTATTACCTCACACACAATAAATAAAAGCAATTTAAAATTTTTTATGCAGTTATTCCTACATATAGAAACAGAAATTAATGCACAGTACTAGGTAGATAGTTAATGCACTTATTATTTACTATTCCAACAAAAATATTAAATCTGCCTCTAGAAATATGAGCAGTGCTTAAGTACTTTAATAAAAATAGTTTAAGTTACTGAATGGATTATGAGAACTCAAATTTTCTTTTTTGGTGGGGGTCTTGTAAATGATGCTTCTGTGAGCATGGGGTTCAACCACTTCATCATTTTAATGCTTAATATATCACATGCTTGCATTGTACTAAGTTCCTCAGGTTTTACCAACCTATAGGTAATCATGTGCTCACAATGATGACCACAGCCCTCACTTACTGGCTATCTCTCTCACTTGCATGGAACCCCAGACTCTCTCTCTCCCAGGGAATGTCTCAGATACTCAGGTTTGCCATCTCCTCGAGGAAACTGAGCATCTGTGCTGTCTATTTACTCCAACTTCTCTATTACTTCATAGACACAAGGGTCTTAATGCCACTGAGTGACTTTTCCCTGTCCCTCCATTACATCCACTCTCTTTCCCAAGCCAAAGCAGAAGGAAGGCGCTAGTCCAACAAGCAAGAGTGCTTTTTCCTTTAAGAGAAGGGCCATGGCTGGTTGGATGGTAATTTAGAACTGCTGTGACACAAACGGATGATGATAAGGGAGAAGTGTTTATTATACAGAAAGGTTGGATCTTCTTCAACATTCTTCTTCCTACTGTGGAATCTTAACTACATCTATGATAAAATCTCTACTTCTCAAAGGAGACCGTACCTACAAAAAGGTTTATAATCAGAATGCTCTGGCTTCTGGCTTGTCAGAGGCAGAACAAGAATTCTTTCCCCATGACTGCAAAATTTCATTAGCTTCTAGCTCACTTTCATCCCTAAGAAAGGAGGTACCTTATTGGGAAAATTGCCGTTCATCTCAAGAGTCCTAGATGTCTGGCTACCCCTGGCATTTACTGTGAGCTAGGCATGAGCTGAGGACTTTATTTTATCTCCTCACAACAGCCTTCTAGGGTTTACATATGGAGAATCTGGGGTTTATAGATGTTATATAGCTTGTCCAATAAGAACTGGAACCAGAGCTGGGTGTGGTGGCACATGCCTATAATCCCATCCCTCAGAAGGCTAAGACAAAAGGAAACAAGTTCGAGGTCATTGTAGGCTACATAGTGAATTCAAGGCCAGACTGAGACTTACACACACACACACACACACACACACACACACACACACACACACACAAACACCATACAACATACCTGAAACCAGGACGCATGCTATTTAATGCATTTCAGGGTTTTGTCTGTATTTTTTTTTAATTCAAACCAGATTTATTCATTTGTTTGGGGGAAACTTTCTCATCATTCTCTAAATAAACTTATCTTTGTATTTCACAACAGGAGGATTCCCCAAGACTCACATACATAATTTGGGGTTACATATATATTATTAATTACATAGTATGGAGCCCTTGGGGTCATTTGGAGAGCCACTGTGTAGTACAATGAATATGACTTGTTTTGGAGTTTCATGAACTTACCTCAAGGAAGAGCAAGACAAACAAAAAGGACACAGGATTCACAGAAAGGCTATCAGGGAAACACACCACTACCCAGCAGCTTGTTAGGCCAGGGTCCGTGGAACACTCTGTGTGGGGGTTGCTGAGTAGCAGGAGAAATGTCAGAGGTTAGGTGGGTGGGGCTGAACAGACAGGCTGCTGTGACAGTGTCCTGGAAAACTAACCACCATGGTAAGACCGAAATTTGCCCTTAGAGGCATATTCATATTAAAAGAGTACAGTTGCTGTTCTAAATTAGCAAGTTTGATCTTAAAAATAAAGTGGTATCTAAAATCTACTAAAAGACAGTCAAAAAACAAAGCAATAGTTGGAGAGGGATCTGGAGGTCAAGTGAGGGCTTTATTTAAATGAAACTAGTTTTTCTTAAGAAGATCCTATGTGGGCCAAGGAGGAGCATCCAGATGCCAGGGAAGAGTCGATCCAGAGCCCTATCTTTGTGCATGCAAAGCAGGATGGGATGGTGTGAGGAACTAGCCGGTCTTCCCTGGGAAACCAATCATCAGCTTGAGGCAGATGCAGGGGAAGGCACTTCTACAACTCTTCTCCGATAGTTTTGATTTTCCCAGTGAAACAGGGAGCTAGTTATAATCTGAGAATGAAGGTGGAAGAGAAGATGGTGTAGATCTGAAAAGAGAGGAAGGATAGGAAATATTTGGTCAGGGGAGGGAACACTTGAACAGGAGAGTGAGGAAGCAAAGGGGCTGAAGAATGCAGTGTGAATACCAGGCTGAGGGGAGTGTCCAGGAATGTCAAGCAGGCACTGTCAGCCTGGCTGCAACCCCATCAGCTGCAGGGGCAGAGGAAGAGGAGAGGAGAACCGTGTCAGATGTGGCTGCAGGTCATCTAGGCATGGCCAGGCATGAGGGGACAGGGAGACCTGCCGGGGGTGACACAAAGGGGAGGTCTCTAAGGTTAAGTGCTGGAATTTATGCTGAGAATGAGAAGTGCTGGAAGAAAAGGTTGTAGATAGACACTAAGTCCAAGAATGGATAATTAGCTATTCAGATTTTACAAAAAGAAGAAAAAGGCTACTAAAATAAACTATATGGTTTTAATTATTTTAAATATTAGATGCACTAACAGTAGGTTACATATTATATATCAATTAAATAGCTATACTATTCTCATAATAATTCCAAAATGTGCTCATCATGAAGACGTGTAAACATATTTTTTTAAATCTTCTTGTAGAATGGTTCCATCATTTTTATCAAGAACTGTCGATTTTTTTTTCTTTGCATACTAGCAACTAACATACCATTTTAATCTCCTTTCAACTGCATCTGAGTAAGTGAAACAGGAGAAAAACCTGAGTTCTGCAACATTTTTTAAAGTGTCTCTGAAGAATTATGTTTAAAGGAGGATAATTTAAAGTATGTGCTGTTTAGTCAATCTTCAAAAATAATTTGCAAGGTGGCAGTGGGTGGTACACACCTGTAATCCCAGCACTTGAGGGTGGAGACTAGAGGACCAGACCGATCCAGAGTTCAAGGCAGCTTCAGCTACATGAGACTCTCTCAAAAAAAAAAAAAAAAGAAAGAAAGAAAAAGAAAAGAAAAGAAAGGAAGAAAGAAATAGTAATAATTATTTTCACATTGGGGTTGGAGTTATCCATAACTAAAAGTGTCTTACTTAGATCCCCTTGTAGGGGATGTCACCACGTTGATGTTTGGGTATCTGGACATGACAAAAAAGGATGTTATCAGGATGCCCTCTTCATTTATTAGGTAGTGGAAACATCTACGTCATCCCTCACCCACACTATGTAAAGTCCAACAGAATACATTGCTTGTCTCTAAAACTAAAAATAAAAACCTGGAAAGCTTTTCATTTTCCTCCACTAAACTTACTCGATAGCAAATTTGCAATTCTCTTTAACTGGATGTGACACCTGCTCCACACATGTCATCCTGCTGGTCTCACAGTCTCCTACCCATATTCTACCAAAGCTTGATACAGCATGTGCAGTGAGAACATAAAAGAAACCAATCACAGAAAGGGAAACATCTCAAGTGGGTAGAATGACATAGGCACCCAATTAGGAAACATCTGCCTTATTTTGAAAACAGAAGTTTCAAGTGACTGGTCAGAGAATGACAGTGGCAGAAAACCAGACTTGAATGACATGGCACCGACTGCCAGAGGCGCTCTTCACCTAGATACCTGCATAGCTCAAGTCACTTGGCCGAGTTAGATGTTCACGTATGTATCTCTTATTTTTTGTCCTAAGTTCCTTATACAAAGCCTCTCTAAGGAACATGCAGACAGATGTAAATTTTAGGAGGCCTTCCCAAATCCAGTTGAGCCTGGGGATGCCTGAGGTCTGAGCTAGGAGCTCCTTTGTAACTCTGTTAACTCACTTCCAACTTTCTCCCTGCTTCCCCCTTGTTGCACTCCAGCCCCACCCCACAGGACCATCTCTGCAGCTGCTCTTCCTTCTGATTGGATGGCTCTTTCCACAGGTCAACACCACATGGCTCTAACACCACCCTCAGGAGAGACCTCCTTTGCAACTCCCCCCACTAGTCTCGGACTCTGTTTCCTATAGTATTCATCTCTCATACGTCACTCACTCGAATATTTATGAGCTCATAAATTCTCCCTGCACTGAAATGCGAACTCCATGAGGGTAGAAGTCTATTTGTCTATTTGGCTTCCTGTTTTGTCCCTGGCACCTCTCACAGTACTTGGACTGCTGTGTTTTTAGAATTCGTGAACTGAGGTGCAACAAAAACTAAAAAGAGAAGGCACATACAGGTAATGTTTGCTAATGAAAATGTTCTCAACCAGTCATGATGGCTCATGCCTGCAATCATGCCTGCAATCTCAGCAGTCAAGAGGCTGAGGTACAACAGTCACCAATTCCAGGCCAGCCTGGGTTAGAGTGAGACCCTGTCTCACACACACACACACACACACACACACACACACACACACACACACACGCAATCTTTAAATATAAGCTTGATGCACTTCTCCCAGATTTTCTTTCTTTCTTTTTCTTCTTTTTTGTTATGTTATCTTTATAAGGAGATCGGGTCTTGCTATGTTGCCATGCTGGCCTCAAGCTCCTGGCCTCACATCATCCTCTGGCCTCAGCTTCCTGAGTAGCTGGGACTACAGGCACTGTGCTTGGCCATTTCAGTACTGTATTGTTTGCAAAGCAGGTGACCTTATTTAAGGGCTGCATAAAATTGCCTTCTGTTTCCTACCCTCAGACTCACAGGATTACAGTGCAGGGTCCTGGTCCAGAGCCCCTGGGAAGTTTTAAGGGACAGCATGCAAGCATGAGGCCAGCAGGGGGAAGCTCCTTCTCTCCTAACCTCTCTTACTCCTTCCCTTCTCTTTCCCTGAAATTCCTTCTCCTTTCCCTCTTGCTCCTACCATTACTAATTTCTTTTTTTTTTTTCCAATGTGTATTAGTGTTTTGCCTATGTGAATGTAAGTGCACCCATGTCGTGCAATGCCCATGGAGGCCAGAAGAGGATGTCAGGTCACCTGGAACTGGAGTTAAAAAGGGTTGTTAGCCACCAGTTAGGTCCTGGGAACCAAACCTGGATCTTCTATGACAGCATCCAGTGCTCTTAATCACTGAGCCATCTCTCTGGCTGGGCTAGAGCCCACTAAGTATGCAGGCTAGGTTCAAATGCAGAGACCTGCCTGTCTCTGCCTCCTGAGTGCTGGGATTAAAGGTATGAGCCATGCCCAGCCATGATTAATTTTTTACTGTGAGTATATCTCACTCTATGTCTTCAATTTCACAATACCTTTTTGCATGGGAATCCTGGTTTTTAGTGGTATGCATGAGTAAAAATTTGAAATACAAATATCAGATTTAAATACTTTAGCTGAAATGTCTATGAATTCTAAGTAAAATGAGCAAAAACCACTGAATCGTTTGGTTTTTTTTAAAATTTTTTTATTTTTTGGTCTTTTTGAGACAGGGTCTTCCTGTAGCCCCAGCTGTCCTGGAACTCACTGTGTAGACCAGGCTGGTCTTGAACTCACAGAGATCCGCCTGCCTCTTCCTCCCAATGCTGGGGCTACAGGAGGCATGTACCACCACACCCGGCTGTGTTTTTTTTGTTGTTGTTGTTTTTTAGTTTTGTTTTTTTTTTAATCAACAGAAGTACTAATTTAAAAGAAAATGTTTCTAGGTACCTAACTCTTCAAACAGGTTTTCAAAGAAAAGTGTTAGTTTCACTTCTGTAAAGATGGTATTTTTTTAAAGGTCATCATATAGCTTAAAAGAACCTATGATGTAATTTTCCACTTGGCCTATTAAGATGTATTTTAGGGAAAAAAAATGAGTAAAATTTATTTTTAACTAGGTAGGGAATGCAAAATGACATGTTATTTTGGCCCAGTTTTTAACCTATTTTATTAAAATAAAATGTGCAAGAGTGATTTTTCTGAACAAGCAGATCATTCTGAGTTGGATTATTAGTACAAACCCCTAACTTCTTTAAAATTTGCAATATTCTAATATTGATACATATCTAAGGATACGTCATACTTCCACAGCATGTGAAACTCAATGGCAAAAGGGACACCTGTGAATCTAGCTTTAGAACTAAAATATTTTCTTTTCTTTGTTTTCTCGCTCTATTGTCCCTGCTGATCTGGAACACACAGAATTCCTCCTGCCTCGGCCTCCTAAGTGCTAGAACTACAGGTATGAGCCATGATGCTCAGCTTTAAAGGACTGGATGCACTAAATTACATTCTGGTAGTCTGGGAAAGTCCTGGTATTCAAATGGCTCCATGAGAAGGTTAGATATTCCAGCTCCACACAGGATCAAGCCAATCATATTTCCTCAGATACAAAACAAAAGCCTACAGTCTTCCAAATAGCCTCATAACCAAAGGCAAAAAGGAGGGGATTGCTACTGAAAAAAAAAAATCTAAATTTTAGAGACTGGAGAGATGGCCTAGCAGTTAAGACAGGGTATTGCTCTTGTAGAAGACCTGAGGTCCATTCCCAGCACCCACATCAGGTGGTTCACAACTAACTCCAGCCCCTAGGGATCTGATACTCTCTTCTTGCTTCAGACACCTGCACTCACATGCACATACCCAAACACAGACATATACTCATAACACATAATTTTTAAGTTTTCTTACAAAGTCACTAGCAGTTAGTGCCTTCTAGAAGAATGGCTTTCCTTTCTCCTACACAAAACTGGAAATAAACAAGTCTTCCAATTAATAGCCTTAAATAAAAGGTTATTTGTCCAAAAAAATTTAAATCCTTAAAAAAAAAAAAAAGACACCAATAGCTGGGCATGGTGACTTATTCCCATAATATAAGCATTCAGGAGACTGAGGCAGGAGAATTGCTACAAGTCTGAGTACCAAATAGTCTAGACTACAAAGTAAGACCCTGCCTCAAAAAGAAAAAAATCTCTATGGGCATTGCACACATGGGTGCACTTACATACATGCACGCAAAACACTCATACACAGAAAATAAAAATAAACAAAAAAATCAAAAATATTTTTTTTAAAAAAGATCACAACTGGAGAGATGGTTTGGCTTTTAAGAGCACCTGCTGCTCCTGCAGAGGACCCAAGTTCAGTTCCTAGGACTCACATGTTGGCTCCAGTTCCAAAAGATTTGACACCCTCTTCTGGCCTCTGAGGGCATTGCACACATGTGGTGCACTTACATACACAGAAGCAAAATGCTCATAGACACATAAAATAAAACATAGTGAGTTCCAGGACAGCTGGGGCTACAGGGAGACCCTGTCTCAAAAAGACAAAAAAAAAAAAAAAAAAAAAAAAAAAAAATTTTAAAGAATTATCTATGAAAAATGGAAAAAAAGTACTTTGGATTCTAAACTAAAGCTGTGATCAGTAACAACCATTGGTTACCTTAAGCTATGTTGGCCAATCAAAAATATAGATGTGTTTCAAGTGGCTAAATAGTCAGAGTGAAATAC